GCCCCGCACGCCGCGCCGGGGGATTTAGGAAGGCTCCAGGAAGCGCCTCCGACCGCATGGAGGCCACCAGTTAAGGGCTCGCTCATAGAATCACCCTGGTAGCTCCGAAAATGGATCTGCAATAGGTAGAGCTTCCCTGTCAGTGCTCACTTGGGCACCAAGGTGCCAATTTTGACTCCAAACATCAGACACAGGTCTGCAAGTGCAGGCTCCAAGTCCTAAAATGCAGCAATGATGGGGAGAGGAGCAGGAGCCAACTGACCTCATTTAATCACCTGCGTCAAAGCAGGCTCATGTAGGACTTCTTTGTTGCACCTCTCATCTTTGCACATCTTTATGAGGTGGATCTGTGTGTCCTTGTGTGTATTTAAGAGGTCCAGAAAGGGTTTTACAAGGGAAAACACAACACACACACTGATTTGTCTTGCAGATGCTACTTTGGTGCCTACAGTAAGTGTGACGATCTCTGCAAAGATGCCAGAGTTCTATTCTGCTGTCACCTGAATCTGAAGGGCTATGAGGTATTTAACTACTTGCAAGGATGTGTTTTCTCAGGTTCCTCTTCACCGGAGTGACGGGGGTATTGGGTAAACTCCGGAGCAGTCCTCACCCAGTCGCTGGGTTTTGGAAGTGATCGTGCACGTTGGCATGAAACCCTCCGAAGGGAAATGTGTTGTCGCATGAACACAAGGTGGGAAGAGAATTTCCTTTTGCCAAAATCAGGCAAAAAGGGAGGGAGCTCAGAGCAAGAAATGTATAAAAACATAGAGAAAAACATGTGTTTCTGCCAAAATCTCGTGCGGGAAGGAGAACCTGGCTGTTGTGCCTACCCACTGGCTGCACCGGGCTCAAGCGTGTCTTTTTGAAAGCAAAAAACTTCCCAAAACGGGCAGGAAAAAACCCCTGCAACTGAAGCATGCTATTGTCATTTGGAAGAACCTCTTAACTGAGCCGTTATGCAAAGGCCAGGGCTGAACTCCTGCGCTGTGGGGAGGCGAGGGGGTCGTGCCGGCGCCACGAGCAGGGCTCTCACCTGCGTCGTCCGTGCGGCCGTTGGACAAGCGGAAGGAGTTGGAGTGGCTCCCGGCCTGCTTGTACTTCTTGAACCTAGCCAGGGAAAACATAGCAGGGAAATGGAAGAGTTACCCACCCATCGAGCCATGGCTGCATCTGGGTGACAAATCCAAGAAGTGGTTTTTCTCCATTTCTTTGTGACTTTTAATTTTTTTAAAAAAATTTTAAATGGCTCCACGCCATTTGCTTATTGCTGTTTACTCAATAATTAATTTCTGCCAAATAAGGGCAGACAGCGTTAAAAAAATACTCCTTACCTTAACATGTACAGCACAATAATAATAAATACTATGACGAGGAGGGAGGACAGGGCCACCATCACAGCAATGATTGGAGTCTCATCTGCAAGAGGAAGAGAGGGGATCTCAATAGCTCCGTTATTTGAGCTAGTAGAGCATTTTAGCATTCCCCACCGTGACCCTTCCCAAAAGCAAGGCTGGAACGGCAGAGTAAACACCGAGCTTTGTAGCCAAGCCGTAGCCCTTACCTTTTCTTGGACACACTTCATGTTTGGGCAGCCGAATGCAAGAAGAGAAAATGGTTATTTTGCAGGGAGAGGAACTGGGAGAGGGGAGAGCTCTTTGCAAGGCAGCGCAGCAGAAGTGCAAGGAGATAACGTGAGTTTTAACCAGCCAACGCTGCTAACAGCCCATTTCCAAGCGGGAACCTGAGGGGACAGTTTACTGAGCCTGCTTGCTCCGAAGTCCTGCTCGATGCCTATCGGACAGATGTGATTAACAGCCCAGGGCTTGGATGGGGGACATCTGGCAGCAGGATGCAGGCAGACAGGGGGTGGTGGGGCTTTTGCAGCACATCTGGTGCAGCAAGTTAGAGGTTTCTGCTGTGGCTCTTAAGTAACCGCCCCGCAAAGCCTGGGCAGGAACAAGCTCAAGAGGCCCCGGCAGGTCCTTCCTGCCCCAGCAGCTGTGGGGAGTCCTGCAAATGCACCTAGAGCAGCATGGCCAAGAGGCTGCTGGAAAAGCAGTTTATTTGGGCTGGAAAAATAAAGCTCTGAGTGCTTTCTACAAACCTAGCTTGGCTTCGTTTGAGAGACAGGTACCTGCATACCTCCATGCAAACTATATTGCATCTCCTTGTAGATGCAATGATTTGTTTCCTTCTCTGCCAAAGATCCTGCTTTACTGATGGCTGATAGAAACCAGATAGAAAAGAGTCCCAAAGAATCAATAGTCAAAGCGTACTTGCTATTTAAGACATATCATGGTGGATGATTCCCTCCTGACAGTGCAGAGGTGGGAAATAGAATGCAGAACATTCTCATTAGCTCAGAGAAAAAGCAGTTTTCTGCTCCTCACCTTCACAATAACCCTCAACTGGCAATTTGTTGGGAGAGCTTTAATTCTGTAATATCATTAGCGAGGTTATCTATAAAGCTTCCTCGACAGGAAAGCCACCTATTCCTCCTCTGTCCGACAGGAGAGATTCAAAATGGTTTTGCAATTCCCTTTCCTGATGCCAGGGGACATTTATCCCAAGGGCTTTTGCTCCCTCATGAAGTAGCTTTGCTTTTGCTCTAAATACTCCAGCAGGAGCTCAGCGACACTCAGCTCACAGCGGAGCTGATCCCGCACTGATTAGTCCTGCAGAAGTCAACATACCTGGTCTTAATCTGCTGCAGTTTTCCAGGTCTGTTTAACTTACAGGGGCTTAGTGGCAAAGCCCCCTTAATCTAGCAGAGATTCCCCTTTTTAATGGAAAAGCCATATAAGCGATGCATGTTTGCTGCTGCTATACCCTACATCAATTTTCCCAGGGGTGGTTATAATGGTAAGGATGAGGGGAAGATTTTTGGAAAAACAAAAAAAAAAACAACAAAAAAAAGAGATGTGCTTATGTCCAAAAACCCTACGTGGAACCTGCATTGAGAGGAAAGAATAAATCACAGCATCCACTTTTGCTCCCAGGGCTGCTTCTTGGTACCAGAGAACCAGGATTTGTGACTGATCCCCCGGAATAATCCTCTAAGCTGCAGGACATGGAAAATATTAACAGCACCAGTGCTAGGAAGTCAGATTTTTGCTTTTTTTTTGCTTCTGTGCTCTTGGGATTAGGGATTAACAGCACCAGAGAGAGCACTACACAACCCATGAGCCGCATCAGATCCGCGGGAACGGGCAGAGCCCTCTGCGAGGGGGTGACCACTTCCAAAGATGATTTCTTGGGCTCGGGTCCCTTTTGTTTCCACTAGGAAAACTTCAGTCTAAGGCACATTGATAAGAAATATTGCAGAACATCAGGTTCTTTTGCTTAAACCATCCGTATCAGCAGGATAGCACGACTTAAGCACTCCAAGGAGCGCCTAATGGGATTGTCATGTAGTTTATAAAGCTGAAATACTGATCAGAATAACGATGGAAAACACCCAGACAGCTTGTTTCTAGCTCTGCTTCTGGTCTAATAACTCCTGTATGGCCAAGCAAGGTGTAATTGCCAATATTCTTCTAGCGAGCTCAATTCCCTGAGCAAAGTCATCCAAACAGAGACAGAAAGAAAGGAGCGTAAAAGCTGTTAAATTAAAGAAATGGATTTTTACGATGCCTTGCCAAAAGAATTAAGGAGAATAATAATTGTTCACATCGTCCACAGAACAACTCTCCCAAACTAATATAAGAACAGAATCTTCCCAAAAATGTCTTTGCTTGGGGTCTAAATAAAGAGGAAAGAAAACGAAGACTCTTACCTCTTCTGTCAGAGTTACCTGCATAAAAAAAATAAAAAGAAACTGTCTTAGCAACAATCATGCATTTGAATAAGAAAGAAAAGAACACTGATTGAGACACTAACAAATTTAGAAATTCCCATAACCTTCTTGCAAGTCTTTCTTTTAAAATAAGAGTTACTGCAGGCATGAAGTTAAAATGACTTTCAACCTTTATTTATGAATAAGGAAAAAGGAGCAAAAGCACATTTCTAGCCATCCTGATTAGGGGGAAAAGCCTGAAAGCACCTTATTTTGTTTTTTTATTTGATAACCAGTGGGGAAAGCAAAAAATGCTTCATATTTTCTCTCTTTAACCCAATTTAAAGATGCTCTTCCAAATCCACACACAGAGCACACGGAAGCGGCAGTGGCTACGTGGAGCCTTTCTCCAATGGAAAGATGACCAGATGATTTGGAGGCTTACTGCAAAAAATGCCAATTTTAGAAATAAAAATGACTGATACTGGGTTAAAGAGCCCAGGGAATGGCATACGCAGAAACACAAACATCCCGAAGAAATCCTTAAGGAAAACAAACCTCCGTGGCCAAAAGGGGAGCTGAAGCCGACGCATAAACATCTATAAACACACTGCTCTTAATGACATAATCCACTGAAGCCTATAATAAGCAAGGCACTGATGCAGCTCATTAGCACTTTAAGAGATAATGGGCGCGCATTAAAGAGCGACTGAGCCAGGAGGTCAATTAAAAGCGCTTGGGCGCGAGGGCAGGGACAGGAGTGTCCATGGGGAGCCTCCACCCGCCTTCCTGGACATTTTGTGGAGGGGAAAACAGACCAAATTCCTCTTCACCAGCCACCTTCTCTGTTTTAACTGCTCCTTGGTAGGGCAGCGTCTCCTTCCCGACTCCTTCCTACATGCAGGATATGGGAGCTGAAGGGACAGTGCCTAGGCCACCAGGAAGGTCCGTGGTGGAGATGGGAGCAGCCTGTGGCTCTCAGCACGCTTGGCTTCGGACTTCTGTGTCCCACACCCCACGGGACATGGAATGGCAGCCTCATCCTTCCACCCCTGCCTGGCTAATTTGGGGTAATTAGGCAGCTCATCAGCATCCCTTCATGGGCTGGATCCCATCCCCGGTTGGCCTTAAACTGTCAATCCTTTGAGACTGTAAATCCTTTGAGACAAACACTGTCTTCTTTGTGTGAGTGCCAAAATGTGTGGCTGTCACCCATGATTGCTACCAAAACACGTATGCACGGTCTGAAGAGCAACACTCTGGCAGATCAAAGCTCTGCAGCCAAGCACGGGCCCAGGGGGACTTGTTGCTGTTGCACTGACAGACCCACGGAGGCTCAACTTTTTAGCTGTTGTCTTGAAATTTGCCCTAAAGAGTCTTCCCGTTCTTTTTAATTCTCAGGGAAAAGAAACAAGAGGTCGGGAAGGGTCCAGCATAGAGCGACGAGGATGATTAAGGGCCTGGAGTACCTATTGTATGAGAGAAGACTAAGCGAGCTGGGCCTGTTGAGCCTGGAGAAGAGAAGATTGAGAGGAGATCTGATCAACATGTACAACTACCCAAGGGGAGAATGCAGGGAGGATGGGGCCAGGCTCTTCTCTGTGGTGGCCAGTGACAGGACAAGGGGTAACGGGTGCAAGTTGAAACACAGGCAGTTCCACCTCCATGTGAGGAAGAACTTCTTTCCTGTGAGGGTGCCAGAGCCCTGGCACAGGCTGTCCAGAGAGGCTGTGGAGTCTCCTCTGGAGATCTTCAAACCCGCTTGGTTGCTGCCCTGTGCCACGTGCTCTGGGTGTCCCTGCTAGAGCAGGGGGTTGGACTGGGCGATCTCTTAAGGTCCCTTCCAGCCTCAACTGCTCTGTGACTCTGTGACTCTGTGAAGTGCGGAGAGGCAGAGCAGAGGGAAAGCCACCTACCATTGTGAGGAGCAGAAGAGGTCTCTTGAGTTGTCACCGTGATGCTCAAGTTCCTCTCAGTCACCTCCTCCTCCGTGCTCGGCAGGGCGGCGTAGGGGACGGACGGTGACGGGCTGGGGAGAGCAGAGGTGGCCGGGGGTGCGGGCAGGGTGGTCCCGAG